GTTTTACTCTATCATATAGGGTCTCTATGAGTAGGAATTGACTTGACAGCACATGAAAACAACAACAATCTTTATGGAAGCAGATCACCAGATCTTTCTCCCAAGGAGCTGCTGGGTGAGTTCGAACTGCCAACATTTCGGTGAGCAGCTGAGCTCTTAACTGTTTGCACCCACGCAGCTCAACACAACCGCTTGTGGGGACTTATAAGACAAACTATAAGAACCCAAGAACAATTGGTCTTGGTTATAATAGCTAATAAAAAGGTACAATATCTGATAAACTTTGAATCTCTGTGCCATGCTTATTGTTGATTTTCTTCAACTTTCCTCCTGAGATTTCACGTTAAAAATTACATTTACATTTTTAAAAAATCCTGCAAAACCAGTAGATAACAATTACATTAAATATTTTCTCAGTTTCGACTTTCACTATTAAAACATCCTTTAAAAACATGTTTTGGTATTAGAACCACCAAACATTTCCCTTTTTCACAGAGAAACAAAAAAGTACAAACTGCCTGCATTTCTTCTTCCTGCAGCAGAGTAAGAAGACATGGCTGTTAAATATAGATCATGAATATCTGTTAAATTACAGTGTGATATGATATCATCAGAAATTTTGATGGTTACTGTCTTAGTTCCCTTGTGCTGCTGTAACAGAAATACCACATGCAGGTGGCTTTAAAGAACTGAAATTTATTTTCTCACAGTTCTGGAGGCTAAAAGTCCAAATCAGAGTCTTGGCTGTGTTGATTCCTTCCGTGTTAGTAGCTCTGGATGTTCCTGGCTTCCTTGGCTTGTAGGCAGACGATCCTTACATGGCATATCTTTTCCCCAGTATATGCTTGCATCTCTGTGTCTATGCTGCTATTTATATAACTCAGAAGTGATTAGGTTTTGAATCCACCCTACACTGGTATAACTGATTGATTACACTATGTTAGCTTACATTCTGGAAAGTGAATACATTACATTAGATTAGATTAATACACAGGTTTAGGGGTTAGGATTCCAACACATGTTTTAGGGGGTCACAATTCAATCGATAATTACTTAAACTGCCTTTTCTTTTCTTTTTAAGTTATTAGCAACAGCTTGGCCTGAAAGTGATGTCTATTTCCAGCAACAAGGAAATGATTTCACAATTGACGAAGGAAATATAATACTGAGAAGAAATCAGAAGCAAAGCATACGTGCTGAGGAGCAGAGTGAGGTAAACCATTTTCTTAATGGCCATTGTCTGCTGTGTCATAAAGGAATAATATGCAGAAAGCACTCAGAACCGTGCCTGGTGCATGCAAGTGTTCAGTTACTGTAAGCTCTTCTCATCCTCATGAACAGAAATGCAGGAAAGAAAGAACCAAGTTCAAAGTAATTGGAGCCTGTAGGGAAAACCTAAGTAGCTTTATTCCTTCTCAGAATGAAAATTTCTGGAAAGCTGGATGCTAGAAAGTTGGAGAGTCAGCAACAGGGAATTTGATTTCTTGTTGGTTTAGTAAGGAGAGGTCTAGTGCTGAGGAAGACTCTCCTCCTAGTTGGAGAAGGAGACCTGCTGATGTCCCTGGGGATGGTGCTATGAACATGCCCTTGATTTCCATGTGGTTGTTGTTGGTCAGTGCTGGTGTGCATGCTGGGTGTGAATGCTGGGAAGATGCCGACTGCCTCAGGGCCCCGCTGCCAATGGCTTCAGAAGCCTGGAGGTGACCAGGAGGCCCTGTAGCCATCCAACAATTAGTCACTCAGAGCCTGGGACACTTTAGGCCTGTTTGCTCCCCTCAGGAGATCTTTACTGAGCATTCTATGTGTGCATTTGGAAATGAGGATGTCAGAGAAGCCAAAGAAAGCAGAGACATCATCAGTCACGCTTACAAACCCAGTAACTAAAGCAGTTCCTTACACACAGCAGGGAGTCCCTGGGTGGTACAAATGGTTAACGCCCTAGGCTGCTAACTGAGAAGTTGGTGGTTCAAATCCATCCAGAGGCACCTGGTGATCTATTTCCAAAAAATCAGCCATTGAAAACCCTGTGGAGCAGTTCCGTTCTTATACACATGAGGTCGCCATGAGACAGAGTCGACTCAACAGCAACTGGTTTTTAGACATGGCGCCTGCCTTCAAGACTTGCTGGGGAGATGAGCCATGTGCACAAACAACTAATACATGGCAGAGCGGGTTAAGTGTTGTAAGAGAGTGCATATGACATGATACGGACCTCAGATTGGGAGATCTGCCTCCAGCTGAGAGGGTCAGAGAAGATTTCACGAGGGATGTTCCTCCCAGGAGGTCTGTGGACGCCAATTGTTGTGGCTGTGCTCTTTCTCTGCTTGTTTCTGTTCCCACGCCACATCCCCATGAAGCCTTCTCAGACTCTGTAGGCTGGAAGTGATTCACAGCGTCCCCATGTACAACAGAGCGAAACATTACCCCGTCCTACTCCAATGGTAAAATATATGTAGCATAAAATTTGCCATTTAACCATTTGTAAGTGTACCATTCAGTGGCATTAATTACATCCACAATGCTGTACCATCACCACCATCTACTTCCATGACAGCGTTTTAAGAATACCTGAAATAACTCATTTAGAAAACCTCTACTCAAGACCCAATTCAGATTTATCTGTCCTGTTGCTTTCTCTGACATCCTCTGTCCTCCCACCTGGACGCAATGAATTGTTTCCATCTCTGAGGTTCCACAAATCAGTAATTTTCAAGCTGCAGGTCATGCCTATTAGTAAGTAGCTCATAAAATCGATTTACTGAGTCAGGTTAGAAGAAAATATAAGAATATATAATATGGGCATATTTTTGTGAAAATTTTATTTCAATTTTATATAAATGTGTGCAGGTGTGTGTGTGCACAGAGTCACTGTTTTAGGTTGGGTTCCCTCGAAGCCTAGATTAAGAAGGGGATTTGAGTGCATATGTTTTAGTGAGTGAGCACTCATCAGAAAAAACCTGTAAGGGAGTGAGGGAAGTAGGATAGGGAATGGGAAACAGTGAGTCAAGGATGCAGTTTCCAGTAAAATCTGGCTTTAGCCTAACCTCCCAGGGAATCTAAGGAACATTTGTACTTGAGGCACAAGGGCTGGTCTATTGTATTCCTGTATCAGTCAATATTGGCTGTGGGCTGCCAGAGCAGATGTGAGTAATCTCCCAGGTAAGGTTGCTCCTATCATCCAAGGACAATTTTCATGACAAGGGGCACTTGTCAGCCACTAAACCAGTTGCCATCAATTCTATCCCGAATCCTGATGATCCCATGTGTGTCAGAGTAGAACTCTGCTCCATAGGGTTTTCATTTGCTGATTTTTCGGAAGTAGAGTGCCAGGCCTTTCTTCTGCAGCACCTCCGGGTGGACTCGAACCTCCAGACTTTTGCTTAGCAGCCTAACATGTTAACCATTTGCACCACTCAGGGACTGCATAGTAGCCAACAATTACAGGAACTACTGGAAGGATGCACTGGTCCACTGAGCAGGACACTGGTCTTAGGTAAAACAAACCTTGGCTTGAAACACAGGGGAGCTCAGAAGCATAAATTGCAAACAGAGTTGTCCTGCCCTGGAGACACAGCGCCAGCCTTTTATGCCCTCAAATCAGTCAGCATTGGCTGCCAGCTATCCCAAGGTGAGGGTGGGCAGTGCAGAAGGGCAGTTCTCCAGGAAAGGCAGTAACTTTGAGCTGTTAGCAGCCACACATACAGCAGCTGGGGGATGGGTACAACAACCAGGTAAAGGGGACCTGGGAAGGGCACCTACAGTGTCTACTGTAATCATGAGGGCATTTTTTAAATGTTTGAAAAACATCACATATAAATGACTTTACTTATTCTTCGGGTGGCACAAACGGTTAAGTGCTCAACTACTAACCAGAAGGTTGGGAGTTGGAATCCACCCAGAGGCACCTCAGAATAAAGGCCTGGTGATCTACTTCCAAAAGGTCACAGCCATTGAAAACCCTATGAAGCAGTTCTACTCTGCACACATGGGCTTGCCATGAGTCAGAATCAACTCCATAGCAACTGGTTTTGGGTTATTAAAACCTAATCTGGTGGTATAGTTAATTTATATACATTTCTGTCTCCACTGTAAGATTCTAAACTCCTCTGTGGCAGAGGCTCTGTCCTATCCATTGTTGCACTCCTAATCCAGAGTCTGGCTCGTAATTATTACTAAACAATTATCAAATGAAGGGCAGTTTGGGGTAGATCACAGAGCAACTTGAACCCCAGGCTAAGTAAGTTAGGCTTCATTGCGTTGGCAGTTGGAAGAATTTGTAATACTCTGTCAGCAGTGGTGTGTAGCATATATTGGACAAAGAAGAGAGTGGAAGGAATAGCCAAGGGGCTATTGCAGCAATCCAGGCAAAAAAAAACAAGAGCTGGAATGAGGGTGGAGGCTGTGAGTATGGAGAGGCAGATGCAAAAGCAATTAAAGAGGTATTATCTACAGGGTCCAGATGGCTGCAGGCTGACATCCAGTACGGAGACCTTCAGGGATTCTAATCAATCAGACCTGGGTTAGAAGTTTTGTGCTTAACGTACCTCAGGCAGATAGAAAAGGAGACATTTCTCATGTTTGCATGGAAGAAATGTCTAATAAATGAATCCATGTGGGTTTTCTCATAGTCATGCACCATTATGCAAAATCCGTGAAGTAGGCATGGGAGTATTCTCTTTCCCTCCATACTTTGGCCAGAACTCCACAGTCGTAGCTGCAAAACCCCGGGTCATAAATGTGGAATGTGTTCAGCTCATTAGCACATGGGGTACTTCAAACCAAAGTGGCGCTGCTTTTAAAGCAAGCATTCTACATGGTAATATATGTTCCAAAGCTGCTGTTTCAGCACATTATTCTCAGCAGGATTTTGGGCTGTATCCTGGATGGAATAATTTATCCGTGGACCAGATGGATCATGTACACATCAGGAAATAAGTTTTTTCCTGAACTCTTCCAGGGCTGACTACAAGCAAAACTATGTACTTTCCTTTCCCATTTTGGGGCTTGGTGAATTTTGGCCAGGCACCTGCTGTTCACATCTTTCTCCCAGAGCCAGTTCCTGGGAAGCCTGTTACATGGACTGGGCCTGGATTTGCCAGGGTTCTCCCTGGGGCTGGCTTGAGATCTGCTGTCAACAACATTCCCTTTCCCATGGACTTCACCATCGCCATTCGCTAGGAAACTCAGGTATCCTTTGACTCCCAACTTCTCTGGTGGTAAAAAGCTGACAGAATGACATTCTCGAACTAAGTGTTTCCATTTCAGCCTTGTGAGATAGGTTCATCATAAAATGATTTGCAAAAAGTAGAACATATGGAAAGCATTATAAACTAAAGGGCTTCCTAAAGCTATTGAAGCGACATAGTTAGCCATAGGCACACATGCTTTAATAGATAGAAGCTAAAGAATGTATTTAAGGTACTAGGATTAAGGAAATGGTGATTAAATGTTTGTATAAGAACCATAAACAACTGAAATAACACAAGTCCTGTCCTCCTGGGACTTTTATTTAAAAATTTAATAAACCTACACATGTGCTGAGATTCAGACTCCCAGGGTTACAGAAGAGGCATTATTTGCATTTGGATTTTACCCTGCAGCAAGAGAAAGAGTAACAGCTGTCTGCTCCTCTTGGCTCCCACTACCATACAGTCTCCTCTCCCTCCATTTTAGAAATATCTAAGACAGTACAGAAACCAAATTAGAAAAATGGTGGATCTAGAGCAGTAGTTCTTAACCTTCTCTTTGCATACTCACCCTTTTAATAAACCAAAAAGCCATGAACCATCTCCTGTGAAAAGTATTGTATATTGCTTGGGGCAAGGAGTCCTAGAGCCCCTGAAGGCCCCTGAGGACCACATTCTGGAGGGCTCACTGTGTGTCACAGGATCAGAGCTGCGATCCACTTTGAAACTCTTGCTATGACACAACTCTCTATTTCTCACAAACAAAAGCCAAGATACTTCAGTGAACTTTGACCTGGTGAGTATGATGAGAAAGTCATTTAAAAAAGAAAAATGTATTAACCTATCTGTAGAGAGAACAAGGGGTCCTGGTAGTGCAGTGGTTAAGTTCGGCTGCTAACCGAAAGGTGGGTGGTTTGAATCTACCAGTGGCTCCACAGGAGAAAGATGTGGCAGTCGGCTTCCGTAGAGATTCACAGCCTTGGAAACACCATGGGGCAGTTCTACTACATAGGATCGCTATGAGTCGGAATCGACTCTACAGCAATGAGTTCGGTTTTGGTTTTTCAGTAGAGAGAACACATATCTGACAGCTTGAAAAGCTTTTCCAAACTGTAAAACTCCCAGAGTATATCTGAGAGAAAGAGTCCAAATTATTATGCTTTGTTCTGTGATCCAGGGAAATGATGGATGAATTGACTCTCAGGGGTGTCAGGTTTTTCCAGGCCCACAAGTTGTAACTATAGCTAGAAACAATATTCTTTCTGCCTGAAACACAATTCAGACACCAGAGTCGGACTCGAAAATGAATCTCTAAGACTTCTTTCAACCCCAAAATTCTATTTCCCAAATGGACTAAACCAAAAAAACCAAACCCATTGCTGCTGAGTTGATTCCGACTCATAGCAACCCTACAAGATAGAGTAGAACTGCCCCGTAGGGTATCCAAGGAGCAGCTGGTGGATTCAAACTGCTGACCTTTTGGTTAGCAGCCATAGTCTTAACCACTGTGCCACCAGAGCTCCCCAAATGGACTATAGTTTACAAATTCAATTCCATGTACTATCCACTGTGTGTATGTGTGTTCAAAACACGTTCCTACGTCCTCGTACATTTTTATTAAAAGTAACATGCTTCTATTTGATGCCTGTCTAGTCCGCAGCTGACTGGGCTGTCCAGACTGTGGTTAACCCCCACCCAGAGGGAGGGAGCATTGCACACGCAAGACCCCACAGCTGAAGCCCCTGTCTTCTGTTTTACCAGCAGCAGCCAGGTATATTTGGGACCTTTCTTCAAACATTGATGGTTTCTTAGAATTATACATCAATAATGCTCCTGGAACTAAGTGGCAGAAGGTGGGTATTGGGGATTAAAACATTTATTGAGTGCTTACTGTGTGCTAGACTATGTTTACATTTAATCAACTCTGTAAGTGTTATCTTCTTCTGATAAGGGGGAAATTGAGAATATCTAAATGACTTGCCCAAGTTTTCTCCACCTGTAAAGCAGAATCAGGATTCCAACCCAGATTCCTGTCCCTGAATCTTGAAAGTTCCTTTTTCATTTCCCGTTTGGCCCTGAAATGTAAGAAAGTGAAATGCTACAAGAATAAGAGTAAAATATTTAGCTTGAGTTATCTCAAACAGCTGAGAGTCTATGAGGTAAAAAGCTATTAATCTTGATGCCGTTAATTTTGCCTCATTGGAGATTTGTAGCAAGTAAAACAAAGACCTTGTTGATATCAGTATGGCAAATAGGAGGAAGGACATCTGTCCCATCCTTTCCTCACAGCTGCCATGACAACCCATGGTAGATAGTTTCTCAAGCATTGCTGTTTGACACAATCTTACGGAAGAGCCATTGAGAATCTGAGAGTGAGTTCATTGTCCAGCCAACCCACCTGTGCTGGTCTCACCTTGCCCTGGCCTCAGCCCCACAGTGGAGCCTACTTCACAGCACAAGTAGAACACTGAAATGCTCTGGCCATTTAGGTAATATAACTGTACTGCTGTCAATAAATCTTGTGTTTATTTATCTTAATACAGAATCGTGCTGCTTCTCACCCATCTGTTTAGATCCAAATGTACAATATTCCATAGATATCTACTTTTCTCAGCCTTTGGAAGGAGAGTCCCACGCTCATTCACACATCCTGGTTGACTCTGTAAGTATGACAGAGCTTTTTGGGTGCTTCCTTCTACACTGAACTCCTCTGTGGTTCTCTCTGGAGAAATGTCTTTTGAAAAATACAAATGTATTTGTTTAATTATAAAAATCAGCTACTATCTATTTATAGCAAGGAGCCCTGTTGGCACAGTGGTTAAGTGTTCAGCTGCCAACCAAAATGTTGGTGGTTCGAACCCACCAGCCACTCCTTGGGAGAAAGATGTGGCAGTTTGCCACCCTGAAGATTACAGCCTTGGAAACCCCGTGGGGCAGTTCTTCTCTGTCCTATAGGGTTGCTATGAGTCAGAATCAACCCGATGGCAATGGGTTTGGTTTTCTTGTTTTATCTAGTTATAAATATTACCTAAGAACAATTGCAGATCTTATCTAATACTATGTGCCAGTAATGGTTTGAAGTGTTTTTACGTATTATGTCATTTCATCTTCACAACAATCCTATGAGGGAAGAGCTATCGTTATCCCCATTTTGCAGATGACAGAACTGAGGTACAGGGAGCTAGGGAGTGAGGAGTCAGAAATCAGAGCCGGACTGCCTGCTCCAAGCCACAACAGTGTACTGGCATTACAGAAAGTTTTGGAAAGAAATCCTACCACTTCAATTATTATCATTTCTAAGTTCCCGTTTATGCACACTATAATTTTATTTTTTTGTAGTCAAAATGCTCATACAATTGCATATATGGATTTTTTTTCACTTTACATTATGTCATATGCATTTTCGTATGTTGCTATGCAGTATTATCATTTTTAGGAACCATGCATAGTATTTCCTTGAGTGGCTTCTTTCCATTTCTTTCCCCCACAAGGCTGAGCCCAGGAATTTCTCCAAACCTCTCGCTCTGTGCAGTCTGACAGGGCCAGGCTTGTCACTGGGCAGAGTTTGGATATTGAGCAAATTTACTTAATTTACTTATCTATTCCCCTAATTGTGATCATTGAAGTTGCTTCTATTTTCACTACAGTGTATATCTGGTACATATTTTTACAACATACTCTTATTTTACCCAAAGGTTCATGACTCTTGAAATAACTTGCCCAATTATTTTCTGGAGGGCATTGACCAATTAGTTTTCAGGATCATAATCTATGGAAGTACCAGTTACATCTCACCATTAGCAAAATGATAGAAAATTATGTAAGATTTTTTTTTAAGTAATTTTGTAGATAAAAATCAAACTGCTTTTTTATTGCATTTTTGAATAGTTGTGAGAATCTCCTAATATCATGATTTAATTGACAAACTAAGGCCCTACAAAGTTTTACTGGAACACAATCATGCCCATTTGTTTACGTATTATCTATGGCTGCTTCTCAGCTACAAAGGCAGAGTTGAGTAGTTGCAACAGAGACTGTATGGCCCACAAAGCCTAAAATATTTATCTGGCCCTTTACAAAAGAACTTTGTCAATCCCTGAATTAATTAGCTGTATTTCCATGTTTTATGAAATGTGCCTTCTGAATTTAATTTTTAACCATCCAGCTTTTTCAATTTATACCCTGGTAGTTTGATATAGCACCTCAATATGAGACAAGTGTTATTTTATTCAACAAGGTTCAATGATCATAACATCAAAAAAGCATTGTTTTACCAAAGGTAGAGTTACCAGATTTAGCAAAAGCAAAACGAAAAAAAATGAAACCTGATGTCCAGTTAAATTTGAATTTAAGATTTAAAAAATAAATAATTTTTAATAAAAGTTTGTCCCAAATATTGTCCACAAATATTGCATGGGACATACTTATACTGAAAAATGATTTGTTGTTTATCTAAAATTCAAGTTTAAAACTGGGTGTTCTGTATTTTATCTGGCAGCCCTAACCAAAGATAGTCTAAATCCTGCAGCTTGAAGAACTGTGTAACAGTTGTGGAGAGAATCCTATTACATGAAGTAGAAAACAAACTCTCGAATGGGAAATAGAAACCATCTTTATTTTCTTGTCCATACAACTTACATCTGCAGAGGAACTGTGCTCATAAAACAACCTATGAATTGCAAAAGGAAGAAAATCTAAGCCAACAGGTTTAATTCAGGGGCGAAAATGCTAAAAGTTGGGAACCCAGGCAGAGTAAGGAAAGGGAAAGGGAGACAATAAGGAAGTGGTTAAGAGCTACGGCTGCTAACCCAAAGGTCAGCAGTTCAAATCCACCAGCCGCTCCTTGGAAACCCGATGGGGCAGTTCTCCTCTGTCCTTTCGGGTCGCTGTGAGTCGGAATTGACCCGATAGCAGCAGGTTTAGGTTTGTCATTTTTTTAGGTCACGAATGGATGTTATTAGCATAATATAATTCTAAAACTCAAATTTATAAGAAGTAGGCATGGGAATATTCTCCGTATCCTAATCGTACTGAACCCTGTATACTCCAAAGATTATACCTGATGCTGTATTAAATGAATCCAACCAAGTTATCCATTCACTGACTGTACATGGGCCAGGAACTGTGCTGGCTCCTGGGATGTAAAACAAGGTTCCTGTGCTCAGAGAATTTTCAGCCTGGTGCAGAAAACATACATGTAAAAAACAAAACAAAACAAAATGAAAAACATTGCAATGATGTTTGATAACTGCAATAATTAAGTGGATGATTTGAAATTAAATTAAAAATATATCTATTTATCTCTTTTAAGCAATCATTGCCTTGCATGCAGTTATGGGAAACCCTGAAACCTGACTAAAAATTAAGGGAGCAAACTGATCTGCTTATGTAAAGATTATAGCATTGGAAACGCTATGGGGCAGTTGTACTCTGTCCTACAGGGTCACTATGAGTCGCAATCAACTCGACAGCAATGGGTTTGGTTTGGGTTGAGGCAGAGGGGTAGGCTTACGTGTACCCAAGCCACTGGCTGCAGGCTCACACAAACATAAGCTGGGGAGTGAATCCATTCCTGGACAAGGTGGCCAAGTGCAATTTTCTGGAAAAGGACACAAAAATTTTCTGGAGAAGGGTATAGCTGTGAACCTCTAGCAGCCAATGCTCAAGGCAGCTGGAGGATGGTACACCAGCCTTTCAAAGAGCATCTAGGCAGGCCACCAGCAGTGTCCACTGTAGCCCCTGAGTGGGGATGTCTAGTCGGGGAAAGTCAGTGGACATTTCATGAATGCAGATTAATGTAGTTAATGCCACTCCACCAACTGTGCAATCTGGGAATGTACTGGACTGTTTAGGACATGGCCCTTTCAGAGTTCTTTCTTCTCTATTGCCTGGATTAACATTTACATCTAAAATCTGGATGCATTGCCAAGAAGACCAGATGAAGCCTTTGTTCAACCCTGGATGCTCCCTCTGCACGAATGCTTTTGTTTGGCTCGCGTAGTTAGACGGTTTAAATTTGTTCTCGTTCACCCTGATTATATGACATGTGCTTCCATAAAAATGTGTTTAGAGTCAAAAGTGCATTATATTCTAGAATATAATACGCTCTTGACTCTAAACACGTTTCGTTTTATATTCTAGAATATAAAACTGCCATTCTTCTTTTAAACTGTGGAATGGACTATACTTGGTAACATAAAGTCCTAGGGAGATTCTAGGAGAAGGAGTGAGTCACGGCATCACAAAATCCTATAGCTGACAGGGACCTTTGTCATCTGGTTCATCTGCTTGATTCCAGGGATGGCCGATTCTAAACCTGCTCAGACCAGCAGCTGTAAATAATGAATCCCTGGCTGGCTGCCCTCACCCTGGCCCCATCCCATCTGGCTTTCTTCTACACCTCCTCCCCGCTTGGCTTGTGTTTGGAGAATACAGATTAATTTTAGTATTCGCTTAAAGATACAATAGTAGAAATGTATACACTTCTTTATCAAACAAATTTTATTAAGTACTTACTAAAAATTAGACACTGTGGCAGGCATTGAGGTAAACAAGACAAGCATCACCCCCGGGGATTACTCTCCGAAGGGGAGATGCAGACAATTAAATAGGCAAAGACAGCATGGTATAGAGGTATTGGGTGCTACGGCAGATCTCTGCACGTGGACCAGGCATCACTGAAGGTCTGCTAGAGGAGATGACATCTAAGCTGAGCCCAGAGCTGGCCACCAAAGGAGTAAGTGAAACACAAGACGAGCAAAGGCCCAGTGTGGAGACAGAGTCCCTGGGTGGTGCAAACGGTTAAGACATTCGGCTGCTAATGAAAGGTCGGAGGTTTGAGTACATACTGAGGTGCCTTGGGAGAAAGGCCCGGCAATCTACATCCAAAAAATCAGCCATTGAAAAACCTGTGGAGCACATTTCTACTCTGACACACACGGGATCAAATGAGTCAGATTTGACTCCACGGCAACTCTTTGGGTTTTGAGTGTATGTGTGTGTGTGCGAGTGTGTGTGTGTGTGTGTGTGTGTGTGTGGCGACAGAGCATGAAGAGTAATGAGTCTCAGCTTCATCCAACCCAACCTCCCCTTTTTATTACAAATATTTCACCACACCCCTTACTATTGTAAAATGGAATTCATAGGCATTTATAGTGTGCCTGCACATACAACTTCCAAAACATCAATGCAATGCACTAATATTAATATAAAAGAGAAATAAAAGGAAAGTAATTTATGAAGAAATAACATGTACTTCAATACATACATGCACAGGCATGAATACACGAGAAGACATAATGAAGTAGAAAGATGATCATATGCATAGAATCACCGTATGTGAGACAACCAGGAAAGCAGGGCTGTTGTATTGGAGACTCAGATATCTAGAGCAGCATAGCCATTGGTGAAGACAATTTTCCGAAATGATAAATGTATCTTGGTAAAGTTCAAAACAAAACAAAATATAGTCTTCCCTTGACTTACATGGTAATTGCATCCCTAGAAAATTCAGTTCATATAAAAACTATGCAAAAAATACTTTATATTCATGTGTTTAAAAAACATAAGTTAGATAATTATAAACAGAGTTTTTTCCTTCATGGATGTTCAACAGAACATTCAAATTCTGTAGGGGACATGGGATGATTTCTGTTTTGTGAAACTTCTCTGAGCATTGCATAATGTCTAGCATTTCTGACCCTCACCCACTAAATACTAGTAACGCACCCCACACACTCACTGTGACAACCAAAACCACCCCTACAAATTTCCAAAACGCTCCATAGAGGGACAGTATCTCCACTATGAGAATCACGGGGTTGAGGGGGAGGGAGTAAGCACAATTAGATGAAGCTTAAATTTTATCCTGAGGCAATGGAAGCCATTGAAAAGTACTAAGGAGGGGGGATTATCTAAACAAACTGCATTTGAAAGGATCACTATGACTAGTTGCAATATTGAAGGATTCTATGGGCAAAATACTGAACGACAAAGGAAGCGTCAGAAGAAGATGGAAGGAATATACAGAGTCACTGTATCAAAAAGAATTGGTCAATGTTCAACCATTTTAGGAGGTAGCATATGATCCAGAACCAATGGCACCAAAGGAAGAAGTCCAAGCTGCACTGAAGGCATTGGTGAAAAACAAGGTTTCAGGAATTGTCAGAATACCAATTGAGATCTTTCAACAAACAGATGAAACGCTGGAAGTGCTCACTCATCTATGCCAAGAAATTTTTCAGACAGCTACCTGGCCAACTAACTGGAAGGAATCCATTTTTGTGCCCATTCCAAAGAAAGGTGATCCAACAGAATGTGGAAATTATAGAACAATATCATTAATATCACACACAAGTAATTTTTTTTTTTTAATATTTTATTGTACTTCAGGTGAAGGCTTACAGAACA